GACCCTCCTTAGAGGGATTGTCCCCATGTCACTCTGCTCAGGGTACTTGCTTCAGCTGGAGGTCAGTGAGGGCTTCCCCATGCCTGGGATGGGTTGATGGGTGTCAGATGTGATGGGAAGGCAGGGGAAGGAGAAGCAGTTTTACGTAGGCAGCGTGGCAACTGGGAAACCCAGTGTCTGGTCTGTCCCGTGCCCCAGGTGTGATGAGTCAATGGTCTGCTGGAGAAGTTGGTTTTCCAGGGGGAGAGCTGTGGGGCCATCGGTGCAATTAAGTGTAGTACCAAAAGAAGTCCTTTGCTGCTCAGAGACCGCTCCTGACCACACCGTGTACCTCGCTGTTGTGTCATTAGCTGGGGATTTTTAGCAAGTGATATCCTTTTTGTTATTTCTCCAGAGTCATAAATGGTGCTTCATCACGGCAAGAGATTCCCCACACCCAAAAGCCTGATAAAGGCAAATTTGCCTGGAAGACAGGTGCAGGAAGGTGTCCTTTCCAGATGGCAAAGTGATTCATCCCTCTGCTAATCCCCACAGCCACTAAACCTTCCACAAATCCTTGGAAAAAGCTGTAATTGAATTGAACTATGGGAAAATACCTGAAGATATAGACTATGTCATGTGGAAATGCCTTTTGCTGGCTTTTAGGAAAAAGCTGTAATTGAATCGAACAATGGGAAAATACCTGAAGATCTAGATTCTACTTGTCATGTGGAAATGCCTTTTGCTGGCTTTTTTCCCCAAAAAATCTCTGTTTTCAACATGCAAATGAGCTGACCACTTCAACATAAATTTAGAGTTTTAAGATTGCAGTTATTTTGACAGCAGCATCTGCCCCAGTGGAAGAGCTGCAGGACTGGGTGGAACATAAGATGGGAGAAGTGTAGCCATGAGTTTTTCATCCTGTTGTGCATCACATTGGGACTAATAAAATAAAATCAGTTATTTTCCCCCAACCAAACCCACACATGTTTATACATCTTCAAAGCCTGCAGTAGAATAAATTACACACCGAAAAAGTGTCTCAGGTCTGCAAGACACACCTTGCTCAAGAGAGGTTACGTAGCCAAAAATCAAGAAAAACAAGGGAGTGCTGTGCCAGCTTCAGGAAGGGATTTAACTTCTGTGTTTTCTTTGCAAGCTCAGCCATGTCCCAGCCAGATACATCCCATACTGTGCTTATGATCTATCAAAAAAGTCTTTCTGGCTTTGTAAAGGTCCAAGCATAGTATAAGCTCGAGACCTTTCTTTGTTCCGAGTGACAGAACACTGTAGAGCTGCAGTTCGCGTCTCTCAGTCCCTCATCCTAAACTCCATGCATTTCTAATCGGTGTCTTAATGCTCTAGATATTTTTTTTTCCTAGAAAATTCTATTTATTTGAGTCGGTGTCCTAATGCACTAGATATTTTTTTTCCTAGAAAATTCTATTTATTTGAGCTAAATATGCTTGAAAAGCAAAAGACTTCTGATAAAGTCCAGATGAGTGTCATGTGGTTGAAGCAGAAGATCTGAACTCCTGGAGAAGATAACAAAGTGTAGAAACTCTTCATATTCTCACTTTCCACAGGGTTGATAAAGTTTGCAAAAGACCAAGGGTGTGCAGATATTTTCACAGAAAATAACTGCGCCACTGGAGTTACTCTACTGGCTTTCAAAAAAAAATAATAATAAAAAAATAAATTGTACAGGCCTCATGTTCCCTGTGAGGTTTAAATTCTGCCAGTTTAAGCAACTATTCAGAGGCTCCAAACTCCACTTGTGCAATCAAAGGAACACTCAGCCTTCTTCTCTTCCAGTGTGACCAACCTCAATGATGTTGGGTTTTTGTCTTCTGTGTGTATATATGTTATATATCTTATGCCAAACGGCAGAGATTCAAGGGGAATTACAAACATTGCAGGTGGAGAATTTAAATTCAATTTGCACATTGTGTTGAACAACCTGCAAGAACGTTACAATTATATCTAATTATGATAGGATGAAGATGTCTGCAGTGGATTAACACAGCTACACGGTCCAAGTCATGTTGAGAATGTTTGCTGGCAGCTGCTGGGATACACACGCGTATGGCATAAGTCAGGAAAACCATCCCCGCAGGAAGACCATATTTCAGAACCTACTCAGCCTGTGGCAGATTGAGTAGGGAACTTGAGTGTAAAGCCCAGAGGAAAGGAGATGTGAACTGTGGAAAAGAGGGGGGAAAGGGAGAGTTCACCTCAGGAAAGATGTAAAACACTTCCATCCTTTCTGTTTATATCACGACTTTTGTCTTTGTGCTCGGGAAGGCTGTAATTACACTTTGTTTATCCAGCACCGTGTTTAACTTGGCACGATACGAAGTTAAAGATCCCACAGAACATGATGGTGAATGCTTGTTTTCTCTGACCTTCCTGAAGCACTGTGGATAAATCTCTGCTCGGGAAGTCTGTAATTACACTTTGTTTATCCAGCATCGTGTTTAACTTGGCACGATACGAAGTTAAAGATCCCACAGAACATGATGGTGAATGCTTGTTTTCTCTGACCTTCCTGAAGCACTGTGGATAAATGTCATCCCAGAATTATTAAAACCCTATGTCTCAGCACTGAGGCAGGTAGAATCAGGTTCAACACAAGACCTGGATGCAAGTGAGATGCTGTCTCCATGGCCTGGTCCTTTGGGTGGAATCCAAGACCAGTATCAGTCACAAGAGCCCCAGAAATAAAATCCCAACGCTAGACCAGATGAGCAGGGATAGGATGTTAAGAAAAACATAGGACAGGATTGGATCCGAACACATCCCATGTCTGGAGAGAAGGTGTCGGAAAGAAGGGGCTGGAAAGGATCAGGACTGGGACATGAGTTTGCATCCTTAACGGTCAGGTCTACAGCCCTGTTATGGGTCAGGGGTGACCCATCCCTGCAATGGTTGACATCTACATTGTAATGGCACAATCTTGCCAAGGCAGAAGCCTGACAGCAGAATCCACTCTCATGTGGCCTAAACACACATTTTTTTACATACAGGCTTTCCATATTCTCCCATTGACTAAATGACTCCATTGTCCCAGACATACCTTCCTTTACCACCTGGAAATTTTGTCCAGGATGATTTTGAGGATTTGTTTAGGTTTTCCAGGTTTTTAATAAGCTTGAAGAGGTCAAATGGCAGATGCATGCCCACTGAGACACAATCACACAACACACCAATGGTGTTTCTAATGTTCTCAGAAGCATCAGCTGACTCTTCAAAGTACACACTGGAGAATATTCTGCATGTGTCTACTATGTCCAACATTTCTGTATTAGAAGTGCTGGACTTACTATGGGTGTGATTCATGATAACCCCAGATATTATGTGATAGTCCACACAGAGGATGACCTGCCTGGTTTGTCTGTAGATGCTCTCCAGTGGGAAACTGCATGTACAACTGCAGAATTTAAGCATGTAAGAGAGAGGAAGGATAGGGAAGGAAGTGAAACTCCAAACAACTGTGTAGGATCTGGAAGCAAGGTGAAAATTCTCTTGTATTACCAAGAGAAGTGAAGTAGAACTTCTTAGTATTTTCTGTCCAGTTAAAGCTGGACACAGAAATGACACAGATAGGGCCTAACCTGGAGATCAGGAGGAGGGCTCACTTTCCATGGAAACTCAAGATTGAGAAACACTTTGCTGAGCTCCATGGTCTTTCTGTGCTCTCCAGAGCCACATATCAGAGGCCAATTTGCTGGGTTGGTCTATCCCCAGTCACAGGAAGGCACAGATCTGATGCAGGAGCTCTGAGAGCAGGACTGGGAGTGATGCTGAACGGAGCCAGTCTTGTCCTGGAGCCCTACGTTCATAGAGGCCTGCTACAACGGGCTCCTTACAGCTGAATTTTGTGCCCAGAAGATAGAGTTTGACCGTAGACAATACACTTTCAGGAACAACTTTGAAAAGCTGTGATAAACGATCCCCAAGATTGCTTCTGCCTGGGTTTTAAACACCCTTTTTCAACAAGAGCAGCTGAGATTCTGAGCCTTAGAGAAAATGTTATTCCTTTCGATTTGAATTAACATAAATTGGAAGGTGCTTGAACTTTCCTCCTGGCTCAGGTTAACAGCTCATCACTCACAATAACTTGTTTCAGAAAAAAAAGAAGAAAAAAAATCTAGAGTGATCCTTCTCTTGGCCTATTGTCCCAGGCCCAGTGGTTTACTTCTTTTCAAGCTGAAGGTTGCACCTGGGTCAACACGTTTCATAGCACGCTTAACCAAAACTCGCTACAAACAAGAAATCCTTTCATCTTCTAAAGCTGCTTTCTTTCATAATCATGAGGAGACTCTTTCACACGACCCACCTACCGGAGCAGTTCCAAGGCAGCATTCTGCAGCCTGACACTCCCTGGGAATATCTTCCTAACATCTTCTATTTTCACCTCCCCGTTTCTTGCTGGCACTCAGGGCAGGTTGATCAGGCGAATGCCAGGTTTCCCCATGCACCTTGCTGTTTGCACATTTGATCAGCAGTAGATGTTAAGTTTTGAAAAGCAGTGATTAGTGAGAAGAGGTTACTAGCGTCTTCTAAAGGGGGAAGAAAACCTTAAATGCTGTAATATTTCTGACCTGCTACATTGCAACGTGTGGTTTTTTATGCTATGCAACCCACCATCTAAAGCAAACGGGTTTCTTTCTGCACAGGGGTGAGGGCATTTTTCTTCTTTGCCCTGTTAGTCAAAAGCCCTGATGTATTTCAGCGACAGTCCCTGTTGCCCATAACTTCATGTATAGACACCAGATATTATAGAATCTTCCTGGTTGGAAGGGATCTTTGAGATCATCAAGTCCAACCATTACAAATATTAGGTGATATTGTCAGGAGAGCTGAGGGAAGACGGGTTGGGAGACACGACCCACTGCTTCAAGAGGCTGCTCCCCACCAAATATGAGGTGATATGGTCAGGAGAGCTGAGGGAAGACGGGCTGGGAGACGCGACCCACTGCTTCAAGAGGCTGCTCCCCACCACCCTTGCGGGCACTTACCATAACCCATGAGGGACTCGCAGTTCCATGGTGCACCCGGGCCAGACCGGGTGCAGCTCTCCCATAACGACGCTTGGTGCACGTAGGGCAAGGTCTGCGACTCCAGCCAGCCCCTGCCCGCCAAGGCGATGATGCCGAAGATGACGCCTATGCCCAGGAGCAGGGGTAGGATCCATCTGCACCGCGTGTAGTCGAGGCCGTACTTCACCATCTTGCAGGGCAGGGGGAGGTTGGTGGGATGAAGGTGGCCCTCTCCGTTGGCAGCAAGGGATGGGTGCTCCTGAGAAGCTCCTGGAAAGCGAGCGCCGGTCCCTACCAGCGCCTGTGCGTGTGTCTGAGAAAAGGTTTTTAATCAGGAGAGACACGGCGGGGAGGGAGGGAGGGAAGGATGGAAGGAGGCAGGGGAGAAGCTCCACCTAGATTCAGATGAGTAAGAGCTGCCGCTGAGCAATAACCAGTTGAGCTGGGGAGAAGCTTCCAGGCTGGGTTTATCTGTTGGGATCCTCTCTGCCCTGCTGATTCGGAAACAAATCCCCCTCAGCATTTAACACTTTCTTTCCCCTCCGCTCCCCACCGGCAGGAGCATCTCACAGCTGTGTTTACCCCGTCCCATCTCCCATCTCCTCCAGGATTTGCATTCCTGCAGGCGAATGCAGGAGACAAGCCAGGGAACTATTTGCATTAGAGGGTGGTTACTTCTGGAACTTGCCAACCTGGAGGTTGAAAGCTGCTTTTCTCGGTCTCCACTTAAAAATAAAATGATACCTTATTTTTTTTACAATTAAAATAAGAATACCTCTACCTGCCGTAAAGCTAAGACAATAAAGAACGTGCGACCACCCTCCCTCCCCCTTTTTGGGACATAGCTGCAGGGGAAAATATATAACAAGGTTTAGCATTAAAAATATAGTATGGTCTGGGTATGGCCTCAGTGGGGGAACAAAAAGAGTTTTTATTTGGCCGTGCTTTATGAACACTCCTTGGTGTGGCCCTGGTTGTACGTGCACTGCCCTGGGGCCTGTCAGAGCCTGCCCACGATGTGCTGTGGGTGCGATGCAGAGGTGAACCATCATGGAACCATCACTTAAAAGATGGGTGTCAGGAGGATGGGGCCAGGCTTTTTTCCGTGGTGCCCAGGGATAGGACAAGAGGTAACGGGCACAAACTTGAACATAAGAAGTTCCATCTAAACATGAGGAGGAACTTCTTCACTTTGAGGGTGGCAGAGCCGTGGAAGAGGCTGCCCAGGGAGGTGGTGAAGATGGTGCAGCCTCCATCTCTGGAGACATTCAAAACATGCCTGGACACGTTCCTGTGCAACCTGCTCTGGGCAACCCTGCTCTGGCAGGGGGTTGGACTAGATGATCTCCAGAGGTCCCTTCCAACCCCATAGCATTCTGTGATTCTGTGATTCTGTCCCTCACCGTGCCATCATGCCGAGTGCGGGCAGGGATTTTCATCACTCAGCTCAGTAGCCAGATAGCCACGTCCATAGCACTCCACCTTTGAACTAACACATGCTACAACCAAGTATTTTGGTAGGACTCATTCATCAGCTGCAGCTGAAGACTGAAGATTGAATCTTGCAGATTGAAGCTGGTTTCTGTGCAGCACGTTTAAGCACAGAGGATGCAAAGTACCCTTTGGTCCCATGGTAGATTTTGTCAGAGGGGTCTGCATCCAAGTACAGACCTCATTTACTCAGAGATACTCTACTACATTGCAGCTTTCACAGTGAAATATGACATCTATACTCAATTGCAAACTCCACAGCATTTTGCTGAATTAATATTCATAAATCAATAATGGACTAGATAAAATACATTAATAATTTACATTGAATCTATACACGGTACAGGGGAGTGCATGAAGGGGTGCTGAGCTTGCACAGACCCACACTGGAACATCCATGGCAATGAGCTGCAGCACTTTGAAGAGGTAGTAGCTCCATCATGAAAGCAATTTAAACAGATTAACATGACACTATGCCTTATCTCTGATCAGAGGTATCTCATTAGCAGCTTGGTGGTATATTAGCAGTGGTGTGGCTGCTTTCCCTCTCGTTCTCCAGCTGATGCAACTCTGGCTAGCTGGAGCATCCTGCCAGCAGCTCCCCCATGGTACGGACACAGCCCAATGTCCCTGCCGTTGTGAGAGCTCTATCAGTGGTGTTCAACAAGTCTCTGTTAGAGCAGGAGACATTCTTACAGAGTTGGTCTTTGAATTTCATAGACCCATAGGTTTGGGTTGGAAGGGACCTTAAGTTCAACGAGTCTCTGTTAGAGCAGGAGACATTCTTACAGAGTTGGTCTTTGAATTTCATAGACCCATAGGTTTGGGTTGGAAGGGCCCTTAAAGATCACCCAGTTCCACCCCCCTGCCATGGGCAGGGACACCTCCCACCAGACCAGGTTGCTCCAAGCCCCATCCAGCCTGGGCTTGAACCCGTCCAGGGATGGGGCAGCCACAGCTTCTCTGGGCAACCTCTTCCAGTGTCTCACCACCCTCACAGAAAGAATTTCTTCCTGATATCTTATCTAAATCTCCCTTCTTTCAGTTTGATGCCATTACCCCTCTTCTTATGCCCTTGGACAGTCCCTCTCCAGCTTTTGTGCAGGCCCCCTTTAGCTACGGAAAGCTGCTATAAGGTCTCCCTGGAGCCTTCTCTTCTCCATGAACCATGAAGACACCTCAGCTGGTTTTTTGGGTTGGAAATAAGGGACAGCCTCAAGCATTTTTTGTAAAGGACAAAACCTCACCATTTCCTTAGAATATTATGTATCTTCTCTTGTAGTCCACATTTGTACTATTCACAAATTCAGTTACTGTTAACCTAAATATGTTTTAAATGCCATTTACCAGTTCTATAACGCTGCAATACAACATTTTTTATGCATGATATTTAAAACAAATATAATTTGAAGCTGACCCTTAATGCAATATGCTGGTACCTGCAAGCTGTCCAGCTGCACATCTTTCTACTGTTTCCACTGCTGAGGTAGCAAATGGGCACATCAAACTCCAAAAGATTGAGAGAATATTGACTTGGATTTGGATATTAAATGTTTTTTTAGAAGATAGGTTCAGAAACAGTCATGCATGTGTCAGTAGACTGTAGCCAAGCCCTCACTCAGCTGTCTCTTGCCAAGTTTCAGTCCTTCAGGAATAGCTACAGTTTACAAAAAACTCAGCCTTTTTGTCTTCTCAGAGAAAATAGAAAACCCAGGTTAAAGCAATTTTGTAGCTGAAATCCAGTAGGAAGCCAGGCACTGTCAGGTATTTGACGGCCAGTGTTTGTAGAAGAACAAAATCCTCTCTTTTTCCTGTTTTTAGAATGCTCATCCATGGGCCAGGTAGGCATTTGTGACCAAAAGATTTGTCATCAGTTTTTGTTATAACTCACCTGTGGACCAATGGATTTTGTCATAAATGTTAGCATTTGCAAGACGATACCACTGAACGTATTTATCACGCTGTGAAAGAAAGATGAGTAGCGTTCAGTCATCGTGGGTGTTTCTGCATCTTGTCCATCTTTGTCATCCCTAAGTAACTTAAAACTACAAGCCATTGTCACATTCAATACAAGGGTAATTTGTGATATATGGAACAGCAGAGAGGTAGATGTAATCAGAAGTGACAAAATGAAGCACCTCGTGTAATTCTGATACTCCTGTGGCAAACAGGGAAAAATGATTGAAAACTCTTGTTAAGGATTCTGTGATTTGAAGTTATGACTTACCCACAATGTGCTTTGTATTTTGGAGCTGAGTGTTTACGTGAAAGCAAATGCTTTCTCCTTTTCACTCTCTGTGGATAGTTCCTCCTGGTTAATACCAGCATCGTCTGTTGAAAATGAAGATCTATCATTTGAGCAACCTGCATTAGTAGGAGATGTCCCTGCCCATGGCAGGGGGTTGGAACTAGATGATCTTTGAGGTCCCTTCCAACCCAAACCATTCTATGATTCTATGATGATCATAAATGTTATCAACTTGTTATCAGTATTATCAATATCATCAACTGTTAGACTGTAGTGCACTTTCTGCATCTGAAAATGCTCCTAGTGAATCTTCGTTGCTACTTGAAGTAATCAATTAAGCAGGAGGATATTGATAAAACAAGCAATTCTACAGCATTAGAGCTAAAAACAAAAAGATGCCCTTTTCAGCCATGACACAAATGATTTTCTTAGTGGAAGGAGAAGCTACCAAATGATTAGCAGCACATTTTCATCCACCTTTAGTCTGCCAATCTGGTCTGGTCTGCTCATCCGTATGAACGACTGGATTGACATGGGCTGACCAGCTGTGATGCATATTCATGACTTTTGGGGTAAGCACATTTTCATTCTCTAATATTTGCACCACTTACAAATCACACAGTGATGCCAATCCAACTGGGGCTAAATTGTACCTTCTGGTCGCTCTCTGCACCCTGCATCACCTGGGCACTGAGGCAATAGCGTTCTCAGTATGACTAATATTTCACCCATAGTAAGCACATGTAGAAAAGTATCTTTAGACACCAAAAGTGTTCACAGGATAATCCAAGCTGCAATTCCCTTGGGTTAATTAGAGGGATACTGGAAATATATTTTGAACAGGACCTGACTTTAATGCAAAATAAGAACCCCCTCCTAAAAAACCAAACCCAGTTGAGATCTTGTCGTTTCCTATGTACCAAGCATTTCTGAGGGATTCTCCCACGGTGGTTGGACACTGAGGTTCATCCATGATGCTTGTGGTGACCTGGGAGTGGTTGGTGCTTAGTCCTGCTGCCGGGCATCTGGGAAAGCCTTCCTCTATCTGCCTTGCCCAGTGTAGGAAAGCTCTCCAGAAGTTTGCAACCTCCTTTGTTCGCTGGCTGTGAATCATGGAGAATTTCCACGGGGTCTTGTTAAGAGTTTTAGAAAGACCCATCCAGGACTGGCTTGCTGTTGGACCTCCAAAGCCTGCCCGACCCACAGCACTCCCTCAGTCTTGTCAGTAAAGCAGACCTACCTCGACAAGACAAATGCTTAGGTTTAAAAAGCACTTTTTTCCTTTCCTTAGCCAGGCTACATATGCAAAACCAGAAGATCATCACAAGGGCACACTTCAACAGCCGAGTTGCAAACGTGAGGCTGCATCAGGATTGTTATTGATGTGAGCAATTCCAGGGTGTATTAGGAAAACACAACATTAGGGAAACACAAAATTAGGAAAACACAGAAATCTCTGCGTGCCTAAATCTAAGCATGCCTTTGATTTTCTGCTAGTTTTTGCTAAAGGACATGGTTTCTTCAGGGTAGGTTCTATACTGGAACATGGTTATCACAAGGGCACACTTCAACAACCAAGTCGCAAACGTGAGGCTGCATCTAGGATTGTTATTTATGTGAGCAATTCAAGGGTGTATTAGGAAAACACAACATTAGGGAAACATAAAATTAGGAAAACACAGAAATCTCTGCGTGCCTAAATCTAAGCATGCCTTTGATTTTCTGCTAGTTTTTGCTAAAGGACATGGTTTCTTCAGGGTAGGTTCTATACTGGAACATGGTATAATCCCCAGTTATTTCTTAGAGATGGTCTGTAGAAGTTTGATGAGTTCAGTCAACCCGTCCTCCCCCCAGGCAAATGGCTGAAATCAAAGGTGTCCTGTGAACCCACTACGCAGTTACCAGCTGAGGTGGCTTCAGGCTGTTTGTAATGGGGTTCTGTTCTATCTTCCTCGGGTGGCTCTCAGGAGCACAACCTCTCTGGCGGGCAAGCATGAAGCATGTTGCATACTGGGTTTTTATGAAAATCTTTTTTCAGTGATGCCCAGGTGTTTTTTTCCAGTAGTGCCCAGAAACGGGACAAGAGGTAACGGGCACAAACTTGAATATAAGAAGTTCCATCTAAACATGAGGAGGAACTTCTTCACTTTAAGGATGGCAGAGCCCTGGAAGAGGCTGCCCAGAGTCTCCTTCTCTGGAGACATTCAAAACCCACCTGGACACGTTCCTGGGCACCTGCTCTAGGAGGACCTGCTTTGGCAGGGGGTTTGGAAAATAGTATGTGTTGCCCATGGTCCCATAAATAAATAAATAAACGAAATTCTGTGTAAGCAGTTTAAAGTGGTACGGCACAGTCCTGTTCTACATATGGGATAATTTCACTTAAACTACTTGCTTTGGGCCCAGGAACTTCTCTGTGACATATCTAGGCTAACTAAATAATTGTCCTATCGCAGCGGATCGTAGAAGTAACTGCTTGTAAAACATATAGCTCAGCTGCCTTAGAGAGGAATAAAATCATCCTTACACAGGTAAATCCCAGGTGCCACACCTCTGCTACTTACATTCCTCTGTCAAAGAAATGGCTTTCATTTACTGTGCCTTTTGGGTCAGTTGGGAACAGCAGCAGCTACTTCTTTAAGCGCCGTGAGAGTTAGAGATAAGGCATGCATACCAAGCATATCTTTAAGAGTTTCAGCCATGAATTTTCACTTTGAGATTCTCCAGCCAGAAGCAGGGTTTTTCTGAAACCTGTTATGCTGAAAATCTTGTATTTGAAATGACCTCTTCAGTTTTAAATGGAACAGACATGGAATTGCTATGGAAAGCATGCTGGAATGAAAATCGTGGTCTCCTATCAACATTGTCAACGTTTCCTTTTGTCTTGATACAAAATGCCTGTTATGATTTTCCTGAGTTTTGTTTTGCAAGTTGTTTTGTCTTTCTACTACACATTAGAACAGAAATAAATTTTCAAGGGTCATGATTCATCTAAATTCCTTTTTCACAATAAGTTCTGCTTATTTCTTGTCCTATGGGATTGCCAACCCAAAGAGAGCTTAAAAATAGGCTATTTAATGAAAAGGGACTGTAATGGCCACACGTCAGCTCCTGCCCCAATTATATGCCTCCATCTGTATTCAAGACTGTGATGGTCAACTGAGGTCCTTTAATCTGTGACCATTTGCCAGGGCAGCCCACTGAGGGCAGGAGTTAGCAGGCTTTTTTGTTGAGCAACCTGGTCTAGTGGGAGGTGTCCCTGCCCAGGGCAGGGGGTTGGAACTTATAAATTATTCTGTATTTGTAAAGATCCCTGTGGAAAATAGTATGTGTTGCCCATGGTCCCATAAATAAATAAATAAAAAGCACATCATGCCAATTCTTCTAGTAAATGTTATCCAATCCTGCAAAGACAAAGCCATGAGGAGTATCATTCATAGAAACATGTATATTTATTATTTATATCATACAATGCATATTGCTTATTATTTATATTATTTATAGTTGTATTATTTGTATTGTAAAGCTCTAGCTATGCCTGCGTGTTTTCCACTACAGTCTTTATTATAAATACAGACTCATTAAATTTAGGTACTCAAAAATCACAATAAAAAATACACTTTGGATTATTCCGACAACTCCTAAGTAATTTAAATATAATTTTATAGAGGCAAAATTTGAGGGCGTTGGCTTTTTGCCTGGAACTTCTGCCTGTCAGGCTCCATAGCTGGAGTAGCTTGGTCCACACCTTTGGGTGCCAGGAAACCCCAGACAAAAGGCTGCTTGCGGTACCAGCGTAGATGGATGTGTTGGACCTGTGTTATAAACACGTTGCCCATACACAACGTTTTTGTGTTTGGGCAACAGAACGATTTGTTCTTGGGTCAATGGGATCTCCACATGTGACCTGCTGCACCCGTGCAGTAATGCTGACGTACCCCAGGTGCCGTGAACTCGCTGCCCACAGATGTCACTGCTCCTGCTCGTTACAGGAACCTCATTCAGAAACTCAGCATCCCCATTTTTGGCAAACATCTCCTCCACGTTGGGTTACACTTTATTCTGGTTGTGAGTATCATCTCCCAGGTTCATTTTAAAATCTGTGCAGCTTCACCTATGAGCACTGAAACCCCTGTTTTTTCAGGGTGCTGTTCCGTATTGCCAGGAACCTCGACTGGACCCCTACCTCAGCTCTCAGCATTTTGGTTTCCATTGAAACTTGGCTCATCGTTAATTCAACAGGGCTCAATGATCTCAGCAGCTCCTTTTTTTGTGTGTGTTTTAACTTTTCCTTTTAGTACATGGGTGGTTTTGTTTCTATAGTGCTTATCACCATAACAACCCTCCTCCCCCCCAAAAAATTACCTTGAATGATCTGGTTTTACACTGTTGTGATTTATGTATGTATTCTAGGTCCAAAAGTCCTTAGATACAGGACACAAAGGACAGGTGACTTCTTCTTAAGAACTCTACCATGCCAAGGAATTGTCTAAAAAATGAGTCACTTGTTACATCAACTAAAAATACAAAATCCCAGTGGGGTGTGGCAGCTGTTTCCCATATCGGTGAGATTTAATCATTAATCATCCCATTCAGGTCATTCAGCCTTCCCTAGCACCCCGTCACACATGGGTTTGATTGCTCATAACTCCCCCTGAGACGAGAGCCAAGTGTGGTCGGATTCTCCCAACCTGCTCTCTCCCCTCCAGGGCTGGGCCAGAAGGAGCTCCCCTGAAGCTCACCAGAGTTGTTCAGGGGATTTTAATGAGCACAGAATTAAGCTGCTGCTGAATAGCAATGTTTTTTTATCAGTTAAGTTGATGGTTGGACTAGATGATCCTAAAGGTAAGCAATGTTTTTTATCAGTTAGGTTGATGGTTGGACTAGATGATCCTAAAGGTCCCTTCCAACCTAGACAATTCTACGATTCTATGATTTTATGAATACAGATTGGCAGGTAAACAAGGGTATAGATGTTCTTCGTGTCAAAAAAAATGGGCATTATACAAACCCTCTGGTTATCTTCAGAGCTTTTAGGAAAAACTAAAAGGAACGAAAATATTTTCCCTAATTGTTTACATAAAATTAAGAGTAATAAAACAAGAGGGGGTGAAAAACAAACCAAAGAAAAACAACAAAACAAAACAAAAACAAAAACAAAAACATGAATACAGATTGGCAGGTAAACAAGGGTACAGATGTTCTTCGTGTCAAAAAAAATGGGCATTATACAAACCCTCTGGTTATCTTCAGAGCTTTTAGGAAAAACTAAAAGGAACGAAAATATTTTCCCTAATTGTTTACATAAAATTAAGAGTAATAAAATAAGAGGGGGTGAAAAACAAACTAAAAGAAAAACCAACCAACCAAACAAACAAACAAAAAAACCAAACAAAAAAAGCAAGCTGTCAGAATCCAGGGTGGTAAATGCATTTTAAAACTCAAATATTTAAAGAAGAGGACAGCTTACAAAAAAAAAAAAAAAATCAGGAGAATGGCAAGGCAAGCTGCCAGAATCCAGGGTGGTAAATGCATTTCAAAACTAAAACATTTAAGGAAGAGGACAGCTTAAAAAAAAATAAATCAGGAGAATGGCAAACCTGTCTTTCCAGAAATCAGAAGCCGGTTTAACAGAGCAGTGTCTGGCAGATTCACTCCCTGTACGGGCTCAGAGGGAGGAAGAGTTGTTGAGGATACAGAGGGCCACTAGCACAGGGCTGTTTGTGGGCCATGAATAACCTGAGGTTAGAAATGGGAAGGTTTCCAGTCACAGGAGAAGTACCGTCTTCCGCTGAAAGAAGCAGGTGAGTACATCACCCTTTTCTCTATATTTAAAAATTCTTGATCAGTATATGAAAGCTATTTGTCACGGTTTTGATACCGAATGAAGAGGCTTCTCACACCTGAGACCTTCCGTAGATCGCAATGTTCTTAAGATGTTTAGGTTTCCCCCTCAATAGTCATGCATTTAAGAGGTTTGGGCTCAGCAAAGAGCTCTCTGCGCCTGGCGCTGCTGAGGAAAGCACAACACAGCCGTGTTTTGCAGCGCACACCCCAGCTCATTTGACTGGAAAATGAAGCTGTTGCCTCCTGGACAAAAGAGGTCTTCAACTTCATTTTATTATTCATTTTATTGCCAGCACTTCACGGGTACTGGCATTCACCTAAAGAGAAGTGAAGGACAGCTATTCGCTTGAGTTGATGAAACGAATCTGTGAACCACAAACGCCACCAAGTTTCTACAACCGTCAGTTAAAACAGTTTTAATTAAGCCACCACATTTGAAAGGAGTGCCACATACATTAGTATCACTTGAGAGTAATTGATGACTATTTGCAATAGCTTTCTCCTGAACATCTTAATTGTGTAACATGCTGGTTATGCTTCCACCCCTCCCAGTACGTTCAGAGCCAAGTTTATTTTACATTTGTGCTTTTTTGACAAGTTATGACAATGCTTATAAAAAAAAAAAAACCATACAAAAGACTTAAGTTATGGTAAACGCTATTACCAAACCGTCCTTCCTTTCATGAGGAAGGGTGTCCATTTTCTTAGACATTTTCTCCTTCTCAGCTTTAGCTGCACAAGGATTTTTCAGACTTGGGGTTCTCTGCCGTGTTTTGAATTCACTAGAAATTAGGTACTATCATTACTCATGATACAGATGAGTCTACACAGTATTCCCCATCAGCCAGTACTGTACAGAAAAGAGGAAAAAAAAAGAAAAGGATTCTCTTTTTCAGCAAGAATCATAAATACAGTTGATTGTATATGCCACGACTGAGCTTGTAACATAATTCTGAAGTCTGCAGATGTATAAAATACAGGCCAGGAAGAAATCACCCGGCCTTTCCAACACAGGATCACATGCAATATACAGAATTATCAAATTTAAAAAGGTGTTACAAAACAGAAAGCTATACAATATATAATACAAGAAATACTGGGCATTGAAAAAGCTTAGTTCTGAAGGACTTTGGCTTTACAGTGTGCTGGCTAATGCTCTGTATGTTGTGTTTTGTACATATGCATGAACACATATACCCACACACTTACACTCTCCCTAGTACTCGGCTCACAATAGTAAGAATTAAATTCCCAGATGCTCGTTACACAGAGTAATGCACAGTATTTGCTTTCCACCCTGCCTGTACCCTGCTTGGAAACCTGTCTCTGCTAGAGCTACTTCCCCCATACCTGGAAGAAGAGCTCAACAAAGAGTCTCTTCCTTTTTTCCTCCCAAGCTGAAGAAAGCTCTGACGAAGATTATAGACCGTAATTAAATCTGCTGTAAGCTGCTGCAGGTCCATGACCAACACAGACAGGGCTCTGCCTCGCTGGAATATTTATTTGGAATTGCTGGCTCCAGAAACACGAGCCAGCCAGATTGCTCCCCGAGACAGGCGTCTGTATGAAGTTTGCATATACAAACTGCTCCCAGAACTGCTTTCCTATTTTTACCTGTTAATCCTAGTGACTCACAAAGCATCCCCAAGTTTACTAAACTCTGGAGTACCTACAGCGTGCTTTAGGAACTTTGGGAGGTTTTCAACACCTTATGCTAAGATTTCCCTCCAAAGTACAGCTGCAAATTAAAACACTGAGGTTTTAAAAAGGTAGACATAAAGAACAGTGTATGCTTCTACTCAAAGGTATTTTCTAAATCAGCATCCCTCAAATACCATGTAAAAATGTATGTAGCTTAACATCTGGAAGTTTATTGATTCTCTCTGTGACAATGTATATTAAATTATATGTGGCTCCATCACAAGTCCTGCAGTGGCCACAAAAACACCAGTAAGTGTTACCTTAACCACTGTTATACACACCAGCTCCATGCTTTAGAGGAGATCTCCGTCCAACAGCACCAATCAGTGGAAAATAGATTTTACTTTTATTTTCCCCTTAGTTCAAATAGCTAATAGTCAACAATAGTCCAGTAACAGGAATGAGAAGAGATTCTTAGGCAGCAGGTGACTGCAATAGTCTCAGGGAAGTTCCTTCCTTGGGACTGACTTTGGTGGAAGAAAAAGCATTCTTTGGAAGGTTGGTTCTTTTTCTAGTTCCATTTAAGGCACTTTTGTCAGAGGTGAAAACAAAATAACTTGCAGGTCCCTCTAGTGGGTTGTTTAAAATCTCTCCTCTTCCCTTCTACACTTGAAACACTACGTCTTTATTCATAAGCGAATGTTTGAATAAAATAAGGATGACTCAATTAGTTGGGAGGGGAACGAGCAAGTAAACCACCCAATCAGAATCGGCATGAGAATACATATGTAATACTTTAGGTAAAAGCTATTTGCTTAAAGATGCCAATGTTTTTACTAATTTATCGCCAGGGTAGTAAGAAATACTCTGGAGAAATAAGGTGTGTTTTTTTCAGTCTCCTGTAATCGCACCAAATTTGCATCAGAGGTGCTCCTCTGTTGTTTTGACAGTTGACTGTACTTGGATTTAACCTTTCAATTTAAGTACGGTGCTCGCTCTGGGGAGGAGTAGTAATAGGTAGGCTTGATGTTTCCCAGGACTTCATCTTCCCAGTTGGGGAGGCAGCAGAAGAAGAAAGCACAACCTATGACAACAACAGTGCTGGCCCAGCCAAAGCCATAGGCCCAGCTGAACATGTTATCTCCCATCAGTGGAATCTCTTCTGCGAATTTGACTGGGTAGATGACCAAGCCTATGATCTGGAATGCAGCTAGAAAGAAAGGAACAAAGAAACGCAGGAGTAAATGACAATGGATATATCACATTTCTCACTTTAAAAAAAGGTACCTTTGGGCAGAGAGGAACCTGATGTACTTCAATAAAGGCAAGTGTAGGGTGCTGCACCTGGGGAGAAATAACCGCCTGCACCAGTACAGGTTGGGGGTTGACTTGCTGGAGAGCAGCTCTGAGGAAAAACACCTGGGAGTCCTGGTGGACAAGAGGATGACCATGAGCCAGCAATGTGCCCTTGTGGCCAAGAAGGCCAATGGCATCCTGGGGTGCATCAGGAAGAGTGTGACCAGCAGGTCGAGGGAGGTCATCCTGTCCCTCTGCTCTGCCCCGGTGAGGCCCCATCTGGAGCACTGGGTCCATTTCTGGGCTCCCCAGTTCAAGAAGGACAGGGAACTGCTGGAGAGGGGACAGCAGAGGACTACAAAGATGATTAGGGGAGCATCTCCCTTGCAAGGAGGGGCTGAGGGACTTGGGTCTTTTTAGTCTGGAGAAGAGAAGGCTGAGGGGGGGATCTGATCAATGCTTATAAATAATTAAAGGATGGGTGACAAGAAGATGGGACCAGTCTTATTTCAGTCGTGCCCAGTGACAGGACAAGAGGTAACGGGCACAAACTTGAATATAAGAAGTTCCACCTAAACGTGAGGAAGAACTTCTTTCCTGTGAGGGTGGCAAAGCCCTGGAACAGGCTGCCCAGGGAGGTGGTGGAGTCTCCTTCTCTGGAGACATTCCAAACCCTCCTGGACACATTCCTGTGCAACCTGCTCTGGGTGGACCTGCTTTGGCAGGGAAGTTTGACTAGATGATGTCCGGAGGTCCCTTCCAACCCCATGTGATTCTGTGATGCCTGGAGTTAACTGCATATCCTTTTAAGATACGTAAAGATTAGTTTCATTCCTACAATCCTGCTTTCTTACAGAGGTACATGACTTCTGGCCAAGGCCCCACACCCATCTGGCTGCAGAGCTAGGGCTGACATTGCTAGGTTGCCGAGGCACATACCTGCATGCCGTGACCAGCCCTGTCCCACAGCCAGGCACCACAATCCTTGTGGAGCTGGTTACCTCCCACTTGTACCACAGCCCCATCGATCCTCCAGCCCTCGGAGAGGTGGGAAGCAGATGGGGCTCTCAGCTCCGAAGCCTCAATACGTGACATGTGGGGTCAAAGGTGTTGGTTGCCACCGTGCTCTGCCTTTGGGAAAGTGCTAACTGGCAAAGGCCACCAGAGCTTCCCTAACCATTATCTTCCCAGAGCATAAATCAGCCTTCACTTGTTCCCCATGAAAATGAGTCATAAACCAGACAAAGACAGCTCATTTCATAAGGGAGGCTCCGTCTAGTGTGTTTTTCTGCTGACGCTTGTTTTACATCTAAAATAACCCTGTCTCTGTGCCCAGCCTTACCAACAACGAAGAGCAAGCCTCCGATTCCTCTCACGAAGTTGAAGCGGAGTATCTCAATGGAGAAGGCGATGACAGCGAGGGCGAAACAGATGACCAGGATCACAAAGCCGACGAGGTACGTGGCGGCCGCTGCTCTCCCCCATCCTTCAAGAGAAAACAAGAAAGATGTCAGAGGCAGCAGCACACTGAACTGTAGGTCAGTGCAGGTCTTTCGTTTCCTTTGATCATTTTTTTTTTGTTGAAATCCTTTGCTACAAAAAGCACGCCCAACATCAAAGCAATCATAGAATCATAGAATGTGGTTTCCTTTGATCGTTTTTCTTTTTTGTTGAAATCCTTTGCTGCAAGAAGCACGCTCTACATCAAAGCAATCATAGAATCATAGAATGGTTTGGATTGGAAGGGACCTTAAAGATCATCCAGTTCCAACCCCCTGCCCTGGGCAGGGACACCTCCCACCAGACCAGGTTGCTCCAAGCCCCATCCAGCCTGGCCTTGAACCCCTCCAGGGATGGGGCAGCCACAGCTTCTCTGGGCAACCTCTTCCAGTGCCTCACCACTCTCACAGGAAAAAATTTCTTCCTAATACCTAATCTAAATCTCCCCTCTTCCAGTTCAAAACCATCACCCCTTGTCCTGTCACTACACTTCCTGACAACGAGTCCCTTCCCAGCTCTCCTGTAGGCTCCCTTCAGATGGTGGAAGGCTGCTAGAAGGTCTCCCCAGAGCCTTCTCTTCTCCAGGCTGAACAACCCCAGCTCTCTCAGTCTCAGATCCTGGATGTCTCCAAAGCACACGGCTGCAGAGTTCCACATGGAGGTTTACAAAACCACTTCCAGGCACGGGGAAGCGTGAGAGTAGAGGAGAGGGTACCACCACGGGAGATAACTGCTGGGAAGTCATAGTGCTGCCAGCATTCAGCTTCTTGCCGGTTTGTTTATGACACAAATAAAGTACAGAAGTGGATCAAAAGTAGCATGACCACAGAGAAACAGAGTTGGAATAGCTGAAGGGAGAGAGGACAAAGAGAAAGCTGTTGAAGGTAAATCTCTGTTTGCAGCTGGAAAGATTTTAGAAGAAACCCAAATGCAGCAGTTAGAGGAGAGAGCAGAGTCAGAGGTAGAATCATAGAATCATCTGGGTCGGAAGGGACCTCCAAAGGTCATCTAGTCCAACCTCCCCGCAGTCAGCAGGGACACCTCCAACTAGACCAGGTTGCCCAGGGCCTCGTCGAGCCTCACCTTGAATATCTCCAGGGATGGGGCCTCAACCACCTCCCTTGGCAACCTGTTCCAGTGCTCCACAACCCTCATAGTAAAGAACTTATTCTTAATGTCTAATCTAAATCTGCTTTTCTCCAGTTTAAAGCCATTACCCCTTGTTCTGTCATTGACAGCCTTTGTAAACAGGCTCTCCCCAGCCTTCCTGTAGGCCCCCCTCAGGTACTGGAAGGCTGCTATTAGGTCTCCCCAGAGCCTCCTCTTCTCCAGGCTGAACAACCCTGGCTCTCTCAGCGTGTCAAATGGCTAGAATGGAAGAGTCCTCTTTAACTCATTACTTTGACATCTGGTGGGATGGGGTGGTGCAGACTCCTAGGTTCAAGCAACACCATCAAGGAACTGCAGCCTGGAGAGGCTGGGACACCAAGCAAGTGGCCTTATCCCAGGAGAGAAGCATCAGGACACAACCCACCCACCACAGGCCAGAGCCGGAGCAACAAAGGTAAGAAAACCTCCCAGAAAAACAGCCAGCAATTCCATTTCCACAGCAACATGGCCTCATTATGGCCAGACCCCATCTTCTTTAGAAACCCAGCCAGGAGTTCAGGTGAGCCCAATGCAAACAACCAGAAGGGAAGGTGTTCCTGCCCTGGAGGCAGGATACCTGCCCACATGGGCTGACCCATACCAGCTACGGCTTTGTTCTCCAGCTCAGCTGTCATCAGGGCTCACTTTCCACGTCTGTGTAATGTGGATCTCTGCTTTCACCCGTTCAGACAGAGGCAGGGCCGGATCCCGAGCTCCCTCTAACGTAGGAATAACGAGAGCGGCAAGATCTAGGCCGGAACATTTTCCAAAAGAAAAAAATAAAATAATCTCTCTTTCGTCAGAGCTGTCTGTTCCAACATGCCTGAAGCGACTCTGGAGACACCCTCCTTTCAACACAGCCTCCCTTCTTTTCCGGGCAAAAACTGAGAGGAAAAAGATAGTGAGACAGAGAACCTTCTCCTAAAGAGTTAAAATCCTCCACCTTAACCCACCTACTCTACTAGTTGCATAAATGGGGGAAAACCTAGTAATTTGAGTCAGAGAATGCAGTAAAACTATCTCAGACACCTCAACTACGTACATAATTTACTGTCTGAAAGCAAAGCATTGTTTTACAGCTAATTTCATTAGGTAGGCCTGAACCGGTTTCTCTTCCTTGTATTCCAATAGCAAAAGTGAAACACAGCGGCCATCTGTCAGCCAGACCTCAGCCCAAAATCCCCAACCACCACCACCACCTGAAGGCTGCCATGCTGGCATGGACAGGGTAAGGAAGAGGGTCTTCTTTCCCCTCTCCCTTCTTGGAGCTACTCAAGACAGCAAAAGCTTTCCAAACTCGTTCTCCTTCAGGCAGCCATGCGTGTTTCATACCCCTTCCTGAAGAAGGGTGAGGAGGAAGGGAGGACACCCCATGAGTGTCTGAAGATTAAAGCTACGCCAGTGATTTTATCTCACCTTCGTATGAGATAAAATCTTCTCATACGGAATGTTCTCTGACATTACCTAACGCAGGTACTGGATGTTGTCTCCACAACAGGGTGTTTTTTTGGGATAACTAATATAAAGGGCTATTCAACCATTACGCACAGCCAGCCCAGGACAAGTGATTCAGACTAAATGACCTAGGAATGCTATTTTATGATATTTGCCCTGTTAACAAAAAAAAAAAGCACAAGAAGAAGAAAGAACACTTGGTTATCAAAGTACATTCCCTTTCAGATGCCTCACCTACGCTGACACGGCACACCAAGCCAAGGCTGGCATCTGCCTGAGAATATTTAGGTTGCAAACTCAAACACACCTGCAGGTTAGACACCCTGAGGTTTGGTGCCACACCAATAAGACCGGAGGAGATAGAAGCTGGAAAACCCCCAGCGCTCTCTCTGCTGTTTCCATATCCTCTGTGCCTACTTTACAAGTGTAATGAGCTTTTGGATACAGGTCAGCCCCGGCTCTGCTCACAGTGATTTATTTTCTTGGCTCTGGCGATACGAAAATGACAACACACACAGCTGTAGGAGATGTCTCGTCAGGAAGATTAACATCAAGCCCAGCTTTGTTTCAGGTCTTCAGAACACAGGGCAGTAGTAGAAAGCACCACCACCATGAAATTCAGTGGGTTTTGTGCTCACGTGTGACAGAGATCATTGCTGGTGATACCTTCCTCTCCTTCTGCTGCTGGATTATCTTCTCCAGCAGCAGTTATCAGTGGGTTGCTACTGATAAGACTGTCATAGGTGCTCTCCACAGCGTCGGTCTGGGCTAGACTAGACAACAGCCATTGAGTTGGTTGGGTCTACTCTGGGCTAGACTAGACAACAGCCATTGAGTGGCCAGCTGGCCACATGAGCATTGGTGGGAAGAGCAGCAAAAAGCTCTGGCCTTGTGTATGTATGCTTGAGATTATCTCTCAGCTCCTTTTGCCCTCAGAGTCTCTGGAAAGCTGACGGAGCCCCCGCAGGCACCCAGGTCTCCTGTCTCCATCTGTGAGATCTTCTGCCTATGGCTCCCGGTGGCCAGGAGGGGAGAGATGCTGCCTTAGGACCTGGAGAGACCTGCTCACACTCATAGAAAGACAGGCCAGCCCCAGTTTCTAGCTGGTTTGTGCTCAGAAATACCTTGTAATCGCAAGATGTTTCGCCAGAATTTAAGTTTTCCCATAAAAACAGAAAATCCTCAGGCTCCTTCACTTGGCAGAGAGAGTACTTCTTACTCAAAATAGGCATAAATATGATGTCTGTTATGAAACCAACAATAACGCCCCAGTAATTTGGGGCTGCATAAATAGGACAGCGGAAAAGCAGAAGAACAATTGGAGGTATTAGCATTCCCCAGGTCGGCTTTGCCTCAAAGAAGAATCAACTTCTTTGCATTTAATCAGCACAAAAGTATTTATCAATTAGGTGGTGTTGAAAGAACATTTAAAAAAACCCAAACTGTTCGGAGGCTGAAGGTCTATAATTACTAGGAAGGATTAAGAGTTTTATTACATAGGTTGATTAATGATGACTATGGGAAGAAGCTAAGCTGCAAATGTTATCGTGCAAATAACTAGGAGGGGTTGGGATTATTTAAAGTTAATCATGAGTGATATGATGAAATTAAAATTAAAAAAAAAGGCAGCAGAACCTTAGTGTTAGGTGTGTTTCCTGATTTTATTTGGCTGTGTCTCAGCCTCCCTAGGGAGGAGATGGAAGCTGAAGCAGTAGGATATTTAAATCTATATTTCCCTTTAGAAATGAATAAAAGGACTGGGAAAAGAGTCTAGCAGGAAAATGAACTACTACAGGATTTGAAGTAACAAGCCTCTCCCGTCTTTGTTCACTCACTTACAAAAGTCAGAAGCTAGTTGGTTAGCTTGTGAATAACTGGAATCTTAGGGTAGAAGTCTTTACCATGACAGGCACAGATGAGGCACGTTCTTACACTGTAGTTATAATATTTTTCTGTATTTCAATGGCAGTAGCGATTCTTGCTTGGCCTTGAGAGCCCATGATACAGAATGCCCCAAAATATCTGCTTTTGTTGAGGAAACAAAGAAGTAGTGGATTCTAAGAGAGCAGTATCAGTAATATTTTCTCACTCACACAATGTGCAAACTTCCACAGTAGCGTGACTGGTGAAGTTATGTGCATACCCACCATGAGCACAGGAGAGCCCAGAATCAAAGATTTGCTAGAAGGGTTGCCTGGGATTTAACACTGGGAATCACAGCTCTGTTTTGGTCTTAGGAGTGCAGGAAAATTAATTGCTATAACAACAAACTATTAAATAAAAGCCCACTAGTACAAACTTGGCTTCAAACAAACTTAGGGCCACAAAGATGATCAGGATCACAAAGAGGGACTGAAGCCCCTCTGCTATGAGGAGAGGCTGAGAGAGCTGGGGTTGGTCAGCCTGGAGAAGAGAAGGCTCCGGGGAGACCTTAGTCCCTAAAGGGGGCTACAGCAGAGATGGGGAGGGACTCTTGATCAGGGAGTGGACCCATAGGACAAGAGAGAATGATTTTAAACTGAAAGAGGGGGGATTTAGATTAGATCTCACGAAGAAACTCTTTCCAGTGAGGGTGGTGAGGCACTGGCCCAGGTTGCCCAGAGAAGTTGTGGATTCCCCATCCCTGCAAGTGTTCAAGGTCAGGCTGGATGGGGCTTTGAGCAACCTGGTCTGGTGGGAGGTGTCCCTGGTCGAACTCAATGATCTTTAAGGTGCCTTCCAATCCAAACCATTCTATGACTCTATGATTATCTCTTGGCTCTGATGGGAGTTCAGGAGAGGCACAAACCTGCAAAAGTTTGTGCCTGCAAAAAAAAAGGTCTCCTGGTTGCCAGCAGTGGAAGTGTGCCTGCTCAGGGGCCAGCAAAACCCACTGGCCAGGACACCAACCTCGCCTGCTGGTTGGGATCTTTTACTGGGGAGTTGCAGTACATGTTTTCCGGGTGTAAACAGGGACACCAATTGCTACACCTCTTGGATTAGCATTTTCCAAGTGCCTGCACTTGGCTGACACTACAAACTAAGTTAGTTTTTCTCGAATACACCCTGGCATCGTACATCAGAGAGAAGCTGTGCCTGAAAAGAGGCATGCTGAGAAGATAAGCCTCCCTGTAACATTCCTCCTTTATTTACCCAGCCCCTGAGTGAAGCTGACACCCGCACTCAGCTTCACCAATAACCCCCGGTATCAAAGTCCGTGCCTGTAGGGAGACAGGTACAGTGGATCAGCCACGGTGAAACATGACTCACAAAGGCTGGGCTCCTACTTCCAGGTTCCACCTTCTTTTTTTTATTATTTTTTTTTTCTCTTTGGCACCTACTAAGGATCCAGATGAATGCTCCCTTTTTTTTTCCAGGCCAGCCATTTCGTACTTGATGAATACCAAGCGGCTGTTAGGAATATCAGAAAGAGTCAACCTCTGTGGGATCACCCTTAACTCATGCTTACATTCCCATCTTTTACAGCGATGATTTAAAGCGGAGTCGCTGGGAGCAGCCCTTCAGAACTGGGAGGACGCAGCCACCCACCAATATTGCTCTTTAAATTATGGCCTGGCTGCTATAAAGACAACCACCCTCTGCCAAGTAACCGCGCTGCAAACAGCCCCGGTCCTATCTGATGGCTCGCTGATGTGTTTTAAACACATAAATCAACAGTTTAATCCTGCGGTGGTCCAGACTAAGTCATCTGGAGTCACGTTATAGCACGGAACAGCAGCTCCGGGTTGCAACACGTGGATAATGGGCAGATGCTGCCAGCCAGGTACTTCCCAGACACAAACCAGTACAGAGAGCTCTGAACCAAACCCCTTCCCACCCAATGACACCCTGCTTTCCTTTCCCCCTTTCCACCTCTATCCCTCTCATGTGGCATCTGCCAGCGGGCATTAAGCAGCGACGCAGCTCAGCAGACACCCCCATTTGCCCATCTTTGCCCCTGCCCCTTTCTCCCCATTTAAAACAAGCCACCCGGCTGCTTTTTTCTCTCTTCCTCTCCTCAGCACACACGCCGCGGCTCAATTAAGAGGCTGTCTAATGGAACTTTCCATTAATGGGGATCCACTCTGAAGTTTTCATCAGGAGAGGCACAGGATGGTTTAGTGCATAGTAGTTATTGTATGCAAAACACAAGTTATGCATCTCAATTAATTAACTTCTGTTTTCCCGCAGCGGTGCTGTAAATGCCTGCCAGGCGTTTTTTCCTTTGTAAATGCCCTCGCTTATTTTGAGCCTAATTGCATTAGCATGGAAAAAAAGGAAACAAAGTAAATCAAACCTGAATTACTACGTTACATCCTGTCTCCAGATGTAAATAGTACTTGGGCAGACAGTGGCATTGATGTCATGAAAATTAGAGAAGAGGCAAAGCCCAAGTTGGTCTAAATAAGCCAAGGATTTAAATAAAATTTGGTTTAAATAAGCCAAGGCTTAAATAAGCGAAGTCAAGGATACTATTCCTCTTTGACAGCTTGTTAACTAGCAAAAAAAAAGAAAAAAAAAAAAGAAAAAACAGAAAGTTGCCCCACAAGGCTGAGGGCTGACGCAGAGCACACACCCATGGGTACTGAGGGACAGGAGAAGCAGTGTCATCACCGGAGAAAGCCAACTTCAGCAGCTCCACCGCATTAGCGCTTCTCCCCTACACAATGCAAACTTCAGCAACTCTGGGCTGGCTTTTCTTCTCTGTCTAATGGGGTTTCCCCCCCCCCCCCAATTAGGGGGTGTGGGGTATTTTGGGTCACGTCAGCCAGGTTTCTTCCACCTACGGTGAGACCTGCCGTCATCATCTGGGTGAGAAATAAAACCCCCTGCTCTTGCACTATAGGGAAGGTTTAGCTCAGGCACGAGGGTTGCAATGGAAAACTTCTGGAAGTCAGACCTCGGTGACAAGGGATCTGCCCGGGGCAGCTCTCCCAGCTAAAACACACCCTTCCAGCTCCCCAGTCCCCAAAGTACCCTCGTCCAGGATCTTAAGGCGGGTCTGCTTATTTGTCCAGAAGTATTTTTGTTTGAGGGAAAAGCAGATGTAATCAGACCCATGTGTCCTAGCAAAAAAAAAACCAAACAAACAAAAACCAACAAACGACAAAAAGTCCCCCAAAAGCCCAGGAACTGGGAGTGTGCAGTAAGAATATTATACTGGTGATGCCAGATACAGAAGCAGCTCAGCAAGTTAAAACAGAGGCCCAATTATCCCCTGATTTAGGCCCCAGTGCAATAGAGAGGTACATTCAGGAAACGGCATTTTTTTCCATCTGCAAACCCACATCAGGCCATTTTCAGCTACAGGTCGGGAGGGAACTGATTATCCCAAGTTCCCTTGGCCAGGCAGGGTTAAATTAAGGTGCTCTCTCCCTCCGGAGAGCTGGGGGAAGGCAGTTTTGCTACCGTTCAGGTTCCAGCTCTGCATAGGAGGCCCTTCCTGAAGGTTTCCATGTTCACCATCCCACCAGTGAGGTTGCTGGTGCTGGTAGTGCCAGGACCCCAGCCTGAAGGTCACGGAGAGAAAGCAAACTGGAGAGCTGGAGGGACTTGCGGCCAGCTGGCTCCCTTAGTTTGGTTGTCAAATAACTTTTTTTTTAAAAAAAAAAGACGAAACACCACAAAATAGTGTTGTAATGATAAGAAAAGATTGAATAATAGAGTCATAGAATGGTTCGGGTGGGAAGGGACCTTAAAGACCATTGAGTTCCAACCCCCCTGCCATGGGCAGGGACACCTCCCACCAAACTAGGTTGCTCTGAAGGAGTCTGGACCTGTAATTCTTGGCTGGTTTGAGCCCTGAAAGGGGTTCTGCAAGGGAAACCCCACCCCAGAAAGCCACTGCTCCCCACGAACGGTGGGGAGACAGGCTGGTGGCATCAGCACCCGCTCAACCTGCAGCTTTCCAGCCACCCCACCTTGGGTCCGACGGGTGGCAGGGGCTGCGGTCCCAAGGGTGGGGAGGGCAGCGAGGGGTCTCCTCCCCATCCCACCATCCCACCACCCCCCCCAAGTTTACCGTAGTCCATGAGGGATTCGCAATTCCAGTTGAGGGCATCCGGGGTGCGGGTGCAGCTCTCCCATAGCGACGCTTGCTGCACGTAGGGCGCCGACTCGGACTCCAGCCAGCCCCTACCTGCCAGGGCGATGATGCCCATGATGATGGCCAGCCCCAGCAGCAAGGGCAGGAGCCACCTGCACCTCCAGCAGGCTAGGCCGCACACCACCATCTTGCCCGGCCGGCGACGGGGACGTGGAGGGGGGGGGGGAAACGGGCCGGGAACTCGACGGGCCGGGGAAGGACGGGAGAGGCGGGGATGAGGCGGGGAGGCTCCGCCGGGACGGGTGACTGCGTGCCTTGTCGCTCGGAGCCGGTTTTTAAGGCGCCGGGGGAGGAGGGAGAACCACCCACATTCCTCTGACTAAGCCCGGCGGCGGCCGCAAGCGCTGGGAGCGGCGGAGAGGAGGGAACCGGCTCTGCCCCGGTTCACCCCCCCTCCACCGGCCAGCCAGCCCCGAACCCATCCCCACCACCACCCCGTCCCTTCTCTCGTCCTACCCCCGGCTGGGGTTTGGCGTTTAACCCCTTGCTGGCTGCCAGCTTCCAGCCTCCACAGCCCTTTCTCCGACGTGGCCCCGCCGCCCACCAAAAAAAAAAAGACGTAACCGAGGCCAAAACTTTCGGTTCTTGCTAGGTTTCACAAGCCCCGGCCTCCTCCCGGGTCTTGGAGCTTCGGCTGTCTCCTCTCTGTTCATTAGAGAGACGGATCAGCATCATACAACATCAATAATTATAGAATCATAGAATGGTTCAGGTTGGAAGGGACCTTAAAGACCATCCAGTTCCAACCCCCTGCCCTGGGCAGGGACACCTCCCACCGGACCAGGTTGCTCCAAGCCCCATCCAGCCTGGCCTTGAACCCCTCCAGGGATGGGGCAGCCACAGCTTCTCTGGGCAACCTCTTCCAGGGTCTCACCACCCTCACAGGAAAGAATTTCTTCCTTAATATCTAATCTAAATCTCCCCTCTTCAGTTTAAAACTATTACCCCTCATTGAATCTCTCCACTCCCTGATCAAGAGTCCCTCCCCATCTCTCCTGTAGCCCCTTTAGGGACTGGAAGGGGCTCTAAGGTCTCCCCAGAGCCTTCTTTTCTCCAGGCTGAACAACCCCAACTCTCTCAGTCTCAGATCCTCATAGGAGAGGTGCTCCAGCCCTCAGATAATCTTCATGGTCCTCTGCTGGACCCATTCCAACAGGTCCATGTCCTTCCTAATGATGTTAGCCACCTCAGGTACCAAAAGCTTGTTATGAGCTGCTTTGCAGTTGAAATGGTCAACTTCTTGCCCAGCTTTTGGACAGCTTTAATGCAAATGAGAAGAAGGAAGAAAGGTGTTCTGTGGGGATGGGAGTGTGTCTTTATTAACAAGGAAGCCGTCATTTGGCTGGCATCAAGCTCAGCATTCAGCAAATGCATATTTCCTAATGGCCATCTAATGAGTGCTTGATTGCAATTGTGCTCTGGCTTCCAACCCAGCAGTGCTGGTTACAGCCCAGCAGTGGTACTCAGGACCCATAAGCCCTGATCTTTCCCCTTCCCATGCCTGCAAATACTCTCCCGAGATGACCAAAATGAAGGCTTCCCCATCATAAGGCATGAATGAAGATCCAAAGTTGGGGTCATGAGAGAAACAATTCTCCACAATAAGATCTACACACACACCATCCCATCCCATCATCCCAGTGCAAACTCTTTTCATACAAGCAGACACGTGCCTATCACAGGACTAGGGGGGGCACGTGTTTTGGGCATGTAATTCACGCATTTGGTTGACTCTTGGAGCAGCTTCAAGGCCTCAGCAAAGAGGTCAGTAGGAGGACAGATCTTTGAGGTCTGAAGAGCTGAAGAAGAATAGCAGGTAGGTGGTTTTCATGGGTTTCAGGGAAGAAGGGGGTGTATGAGTTCTTATTGGACCTCATCAAATGGGATTTTGGCAGATTCATGTCAAACATGGTCAAACTATGCCCAGTGTCAGGGTTAGTCAGTGTCAGAGTTCCACCAGCCCTCTCAACGTCCTCCTCAAAGTTCCCACCAGAAAAATCTAGAAAGATGCTGTATCTGGGAAGTATGTACTTGTATGTACTTGTTAATACAATGTGAGTGAAAAATGGGACTGTGAGAAGTATTAATTCTGTCAATAATAGATAAAGTATAAAATTCCTATTAAAAACTAGCTTTAAAAAGTAATTTGCATACTTGGTGCATGGCATGTGGCTTTTCAAAGAGTGCAAATGAAAAGCTATAACTAGGAATTATTGTAACATTTCCTAAAAATTGAAAAAAAAAAGGTATTTTTAAGTTAATGCTTTTAGGAATTTCTACTTTTGTATATTGCTGCGGGACTACTTGCCATTTAACTGTCTCAAGGGCTTTTCTGGCAAGCGTATATTGGCTGGCAAAATAATGAAGGGCTGGTTTTAAGATGTAATCTAGCTTTAAATCACCTATCTGGAAAAATTAATGGCTTGCATATTCCTGCGTATTGAATTGTATTATGACAAGGTATCAATTTACTGTTTAATTATAAACACACACACATATATGTACTACTCACAAATACTTTTTATTCATAACTCCTCTTCCACTCTTCAGTTCTTGCTACTGTTGCCTTAAAATATCAATTTAAATCATATCTACGTTTGTATTATTCTTCAAGCCTAGATTACCACAACTTTGTCCTTCTCTAATCCAACCAAATCACCAGGACCACACTACAATCAAAATTATCTTCCTCCTTTACTGCTGGTGGTCATTCCCATCATTCAGATTTCATTCTGAATTCATAATAAAATAGAGCTGTAAATAAATTTTGCCTGAACTGCTTGCAGGCATAATTCATCAGTACACGGTGGGCACTGTGATCATCTTTTTTGTCCCTGTAGCAGAACTCGATTTGTGCAGTGCCAAGAGGTGATTTTCCAGCAGTCTCACTGTCAGCACTTGAGTCACTTCAGAAGGAGAGGCAGAAGGTATTTTCTTCAGCACAAAAATAGGTGAGAGCTGTTGGAAGAGAAGGGGGGTTAAATTTCATCCATTTTGCAAGAAATAGAGTAGGAATGGACCACTCAGGAAACTGCTCGCTTCACTCCAAGGTCAAAAGTTAGAGAGTTCTCCCCAGTTCAGAAAGGACTGTAGTTCTGGCTGTTTTTAGCTGTTGCATTAATTGGTTTCCCAAGGATGTGCCTGCACCTGGAGTACCTCGGGGTCTGGTCACTGAGGTGGCTAGGAGGACACAAAGAGAAGCACCAAGGGCAACCTCTAAGCCTACTTCTGGCTTTAGCAGCTCTCATGGCCTTCCCTGCTGCTTCCAGTGAAATGCCATCTTCTCCTTTCTTTTGCAACATCTGGCTTTTAAACAACTGGGAAATTTGGCTGAAGTCAAAAGGAAATATACCAAAGATTTCATTCTGTGGAATGGAGAGCCTACAACACAGTCACAGAATCACAGAATCACATGGGGTTGGAAGGGACCTCTGGAGATCATCTTCTCCAACCCCCTGCCAAAGCAGGTCCACCCAGAGCAGGTTGCACAGGAACTTGTCCAGGCGGGTCTGGTCTCTCCTCCAGAGAAGGAGACTCCACCACCTCTCTGGGCAGCCTCTTCCAGGGCTCTGCCACCCTCAAAGTGAAGAAGATCCCCCTCATGTTTAGGTGGAACTTCTTATATTCAGGTTTGTGCCCATTTCTTCTTGTCCTATCCCTGGGCACCACTGAAAAAAGAAGTCAATGAAGTTATCTGCCTTCAGTCCCAATGTTGCTTGGATTTAATAGTGAGGAAATCTAGCAAGCTAATAAACCAGTGCCTCCTGCAGCAAACCAGGCAGCTCCAGCAGCATATGTAGCTTTTCTCACCTCCAGGCCCTGTAGCCCACATCTTCACAGGGACCAGATGGCAGGAGTCAGCTCTGTGGGGCTGCAACGATACACGAGTGAAAGACACGCAGTGCTCTGATCCTGAGGAAAAGATGCCCTCATACAGAACAAAATAAACTGGAGGCTTGCTTCACTAAACAATCAAAAATGCCTGAATCTACCTGGGAATTCTGGACCAAGCTGCTCTGTCAAAAGTTATGTTCTCTTCTGCTATGAACACAACTAGGAGTTCTTTAGTAATTATGAACATCTAGACCCTTTTCCCAAATTTTTCTTTTACCATGGAAAAAAGAAATCGCAAGCTTCATTCACCACCACTATCCTTACCTTTAATTATTTATTATGTAAATAATCAGCTAATTTCATAATCCTTGGGGCGTTATTGCAATTATTTTTTCTCTGCAGCCTAAGGAGGGCCGTGGCCCTCGCTGCTTTACGTGGAGTAAATCATTTACCAGGGCTGGCAATCATTCACTCAGCTATCAGAGAAAACCCAGCGGCGCCGAGTGAAGGTCAGGGATCAGCTCCAGCCCAGACGAGCACGGCCGGGCTCTCACGGGGACGGATTTGAACGGGGTCAGTGGGAATCTGCAGGCTGGTTCCCAAGGGTGTATTTGGGGAGGTTGGGGGGACATGGTGGGTAGCACAGTGCCAAGGCCACCCCTCTGTCCTGCAGGGCAGGGGCTCCCCTGAGTCATAGAGTCATAGAATTGCCCAGGCCGGAAGGGACCTCCAAGGGTCATCTAGTCCGACCTCCCCGCAGTCAGCAGGGACACCCCCAACTCGACCAGGTTGCCCAGGGCCTCATCGAGCCTCTCCTTGAATATCTCCAGGGAAGGGGCCTCAACCACCTCCCTGGGCAACCTGTTCCAGTGTTTCACCACCCTTATAGTGAAGAACCCTCTCCTCATCTCCAGTCTAAATCTGTTCCCCTCCAGCTTGAAGCCATTTCCCCTTGTCCTGTCACTGCAGGCCTTTCTAAACAGGTTCTCCCCAGCCTTCCTGTAGGCTCCCTTCAGGTACTGGAGGCTGGGTTTCCTTTCCTTTTTCCATTTTACCCGAATATGTTTTTCTAAGCCTGTTTACCTCTCAGCTAAAAACCATTAGGAAAAAAAAAAAAGCAATGTCTGCTGACTGAATACCTGTTGTAAATCCAATTATTTTATAATTCATGGGTGTTGTCCTTCAGCGGCGTCTTATGCTCACTTTCCTCCATGTTCAGGTGCCCTAATTCTACTTAATCTCTCTTCAGGCATCACAGCCTAATTAGAACCACCAAAACAAGGTAGTCATTCAACCCATAAAACAGGATAGGGATGGGAGGTACTTGGGTATAACCCGCAACAACCGCTCCAGCAGTATTTGGGGATCAAACTTCAATTTCCACACGTGTGCTGAAACCCTGCCATTGTCTGAATTTAAAAG